TCAGACAGACAAAAGCTAGCAAATTATTGGGTCCAGGCTGCTTTATCCACCAATCTATCACCATTTTCTGTTTACAACCGAGAACCTCTATCATCCAGGCTTCCAGCATCAACCAATTCTCAAAACCAAAAGAATATCATGGGAAGCAAACCAATGCTGGTCATAGAAAATTCAAGTGAAGATACTTCATCAAAATCTCATGGAAAAATCCGTGCGGCTAATTCCAAACACGCCTTGCAAGGAACTCCTCGCAAAACAGGTGATGCCTTATCAAATGGACACAAACAACTAGTCCAATCACCACGGGATTGGGTCAGAGGAAATGGGTTTGATGAAGTGGTTGATTTAATTGACATGCTGCAAGTGAAGTCAAGAGATTGGTTTCTGGTGTTTGTTGAGAGATTCTTGGACTCTGATGGGGACACTGCTAGCTTGTCAAATAATGGGCAAATAGCAGGTATGCTCACTCAGCTAAAAAGTGTGAATGATTGGCTTGATGAGATAGGATCAAGCAAGAATGAAGGAGAATCATGGCAGATACCAGCAGAGACAATTGACAGGTTGAGGAAGAAGATATATGAATATCTTCTTACACATGTGGAATCTGCAGCAGCAGCACTCACTGGTGGATCACAATCATCCCCTGGAATCCAAACCTCAGAGATCAAAGCCAAAAAGTGATGAATAGGTACATAGCTTAGCTTAAGGATGCATTGTTTATGATATTTAGTCACCAGAACTTATTCAACAAAATTTCTCTCCTTTCACTCATTTTTTTGTACATAGATCCTGCATGTGATCTGGGATGTAGAATATGTTTATGTGGGGAAGTAGCATTGTGATTTGTGATGATTTTCTTTTTCTTTTACTAAGTTATTGCTCATATCAAAGTACAGAAATTGAAACAGTGGACAGATATAAGCAGAAGTTACAGTTGCATGATTATGGTGATTCCCTTCAAATAACTGTTATATGGATATCAAATCATGACTAGAAATGGTAAAAATACTAGTATCTGCGAATATATATATATATATATATATAAAATCCACGACGGACATCACTATATTCATAAGGTTGTATAAGCTGGAGTCTCAACACCATCCAATACAACCCCAATAATTGCAGTCGTTTTTTTTTTCAATTACATTAAAATTATTTGAATAATAATGATATTAATAACAATAGTAATATTCATGTTACTAAATTTATTTCATCATTTGATTAACTAAATATTTATTCTTGAAATATTAAACTATTCAGTTATTTAAATATTAAATAATATAGTCTTCTTTTAAACGTTATTGTAGAAAGGTTTAATTAATTTTTAAATTTATGATAAATTTGGATATTTTTAATTAAATTTTTATTAAAAAAGTCTGTTATATTGAGTATTTTAATTGAGTTTTGACATTTTAAATGAGTTTCTATTAACAAATTTTGTCCATTGAATGTTTAAAATCTTTATACTTTTCAATTTAGTTCGTATTGTTAAATTGAATGACATTTTATTTTGTGGTCTCAAATAGAACACTAAAAACTTAAACAATAAAAAATAAAGTTATGGAACTTCTTTTACAAAACGTCATCATTTGATCTTTGCACATGGTTGATTTGGTTTTCGTTTTAATATTAAATGTATAAAAGGAAACAATGTCATTTTTTATAAAATTAATTAGGGTTCAATTACTTCATTTTTCTTATGGTCAACGTTTCGTGATTTTTTGTGATAAAGATTAAATTGAAAAAAAAAATCAAAGATTTCAGATACTCATTAAAATAAAAAATTTAAATATAAATTTGATTAAAAATATTCAATTTGTTAGAAATGTAAAAGTTAATTGAGTTTTTTTTTTTTCATAAGACATGTAAAAAGTGATAATATAAAGTGAGAGTCATGTCATCCAAAATAAAGTTAACTTACACCGATCAAAAAATATAAAAATCTTAAATTATTTGATATAACAAATTTATTTAAGAGAAACTTAATTCAAAACATTTAGATTGATCATGAAGTTAAAATTTAATTAAACTTTCTTAAAAAATATAACAAAAAGATATTCAAAAATTATAATTTTTAACAAAGATTAAAAAAGATTGTAACTTAATCAACATAATTCAATTGATTATTGCGTGAACATTAATGAGTTTTAAAAAGAGTACAAAATTCGAGAAAGATTAACATATTTTTTTTAAAGGATTGAGTGATGGATTTACTCCAATTCACTTTATTTATATCAACAAAGAATTATATAATCTATCTACCAAAATGAAAAGTAAGAAACATAAAATTACCAATATTCTAAATTTAACTAAAGCATATTTTCATTTACAACGTGTTCTAAGGAATTTATTGTGCACGGAAATTTGCTCGCACGGTTTGTAAATTAAATTCGTGTTTATTTTCAATAATTTTGAAAGCGAGTAACTGCGCATCCATTCTAATATGTCACGATTTGGATAATGATACTTTGACAACATTTCAACATCATTTATGTGATTAGTTCAAAATTACTCAATAATCAATAATAATAATAATCATAAATACCAATATGGACCAATCATAGAATGATACGTAGATGATATTAAAATGTTGTAAAAAAATGTTCTCAAAGTATCATTATCTCCACGATTTGGAACGATTTGAAGGGAATGAAAAGAAAATCTCTTGTTTTCCCTTATAGGATTGTCATACCAGTCTCGTAGTGGTGCTTCAACTATTTCAATTTTCTTCAATTCCTCATTTTCTTATTCTTCAACATAGTGTTGCACCGTGTCTAATTATATAACCTCAGCTATGTAATGAATATATGCATGTAATTTCACACTAACTCATGGCTTGATAAGACGCTAACACCTCACAAATGTTGTCACGTAAATTCACGAAGATGGAACTTTCATTTTATTATAATTAGATGATTGTATTACATAAATTTAATTATATTATATCAATTTTAATTATATTTTATTATATAAAACTTGTTATTTACTTCTAACTAGTTTTTTAAACATAATTATTTCACTCTACTTAAATAATATTTATTTTATTTTAAAAGACAGTTTTTATTTTTTTTCATCTTTATAAACTTTTTTACAATTAAATATAGCATTAATAATTATAATTTTATATTACATTAATAACTAGGGGCATTTTGGTAATTCCAGTTTCTATCAATTAAACAAATTTTATTTATCTGTCACATCGATCAAATTCTACACTAATTCTCATAAATTTTATTTTCAAATCCACTCTCATTTACACCAAATCCATTCAAATAAACAAAACATTAAGATAACAAAAAACTATATTATGATAAGTATTATCAAACTTATTTTTATTTAAACAATAAAAAATCATTAACGAGATATGAAAATGAATATAAATATAATTTTTAAATTAAAAATGAAATATATATATATATATATATATATATATATATATAATTCTCGTATTCATATATGTCTTTGTTCTCCTTTCTATCCTAAATTATTAAAACAAATTTATTTTACTATGATTTAAACTACTTATATTAACTTTCTTTTTATCTAAAACATATTTAATATAATTTTTACTCTTTTATCTAATATTTGATATTTATCTAATTACTATTTTTATATTTATGTAATGATACTTCTTTCTATCTTGATATTAAAGTAATTGTACCCTTTTAACATTAAATACCTCATAACATCATATTTTATTCGTTACAATTTTTTTATAATTAATATTTAAAATATTAAATAAACAAGTTAGAATATTGGGATGATATATCTATTATCAGATGAACATGGATAGTGATAGTTTATTTATTGACCACATTGTCAGATAAGGTTGATCCATTAAGATATATCAATTTATATGAAATTGCAAATTTATCTATATTTTTTTTTAAGAAATAAATATAATTTTAGTTTCAAAATTTTGATATAAAATTTAGATTTTATTATTGTCTCAAACTTTAATGTATTTTTATTTAATTTTTTTTAAATAAATATATATAATTTTTATAACTCAACCGTCTTAAATATTTTTAATATGTTTTAAATTGATATTTTAACTGTCTACATATTTAACACTTTCAATTTAAATATTAAATTGAAAAGAATGTATTTATTTATTTTAAAAAATTATGACTAAAATATATTAAAATTTAAAATAAAAATAAATTTTAATTTCGACAAAGTTTAATAACTATAAACATATTTAATTGTTTTTTTTTATCAAATCCAATCCGCACTAATCACTTATAATTCAAGATGTTAAAAATAATCATTGAAGTAACATAATTAATTATGGAGATATATTTGAATTAATAAAAGCAATGTAACTCACCTTCTTTTTACCAATATTTCTCTGCAGCCCTCTTCCCACTGAACCAAACTTAGTAAATGTGGTTACAACTTTTCTTTTCTGAAAGAAAAGCAATACCTTTGTAGAACTTTATTGGAAAGTTTCCTATTTTTTAACTAATAACATTTTCAATTGTATCTCAAAATATTTAAACAAAAAATAATTAAAACAAGGAAAATGATACTTGAACAACCATTTTTTACAACATTTAGACACGCGCACACGTGTCAAAATCTAAGTGGTCATGTGCACGTGTCTAAATATTGTCAAAAATAGTTGTTCAAGTGTCATTTTCCTTAAAACAATTAAAAATATATATTTAAACAAATATCCGCAGGTAGAGATGTTTTAGCAGACATTAATAGTACCATAAAAGATAAGTGTCGCAACCAATTAACACAAGTTGTTTTAGTTCAATAATAATGTTAATTTGAAGTAATATATTCAAGTAAAATAAAATTACTTCTGACTCCTAATTTATAATTTAAGCATTACTATTTTTGAAATTTTCAAAATCTTAATATAATTTGTTTTATTGTTTGATTCTTAGAGAAAATGACATGTACACAATACTTTGGTGAAAATGATTGATAAATAGATAAATAGTTTTGTTTTGCAATAAATAAATTTGAAGGAAAGTGTTCTAGAAAGTACCACTCCTCCACCGTAGTGATTTTAAATTCGTTTGTGGCAACTCTTTCAACTCAACAACACTCTGAGCTGAAATCTGAAGCAACTTTTGTTGCCATTGCAGTGAGGAATGAGATGGCCAATGGCAGCACTACCCAGATGTTCAAGCTTCTGCTTTTCCTTCTGATTCTTCACTCTGCACTCGCTGAGATCTTCTTCGAAGAGAGATTCGAAGGTAATCATAATAATCTTCACCCTTCACTTCACCTCAGACTCCACTGTTTTCGGAGATTTTTAATTTTGTTGATTGATTGCTTCAGATGGATGGAAGAGCCGTTGGGTTTTGTCGGACTGGAAAAGGAGCGAGGGAAAAGCAGGTACCTTCAAGCACACAGCAGGGAAATGGTCTGGAGATCCTGATGACAAAGGTATTCATCTTCAATTCATTAATCTCACATGTCCAACATTGGTTAGAATAATAAACTATTTCACATACTACTGACTTATCAAGACGATCTTGACTTCTAACATGGAAAACATGAAGAAAAAAAATTGAAATTTATTTATCCATAATTAACTTATTCACAAGATAAAAACAAAAAAGTTAATTGGATTGTGTTGTTGATCACATTTATTATTGTTATTGTTATTATTACTATGCTGATGATGATGGTGATGGTGAAACTTTTCTTTTGCAGGTCTTCAAACACATAACGATGCGAAACATTTTGCCATATCTGCAAAGATACCCGAGTTTAGCAACAAGGACAGAACCCTTGTGGTGCAGTATTCCATTAGGTTGGAGCAGGACATTGAATGCGGTGGCGGTTACATCAAACTTCTCTCTGGTTATGTCAATCAGAAGAAGTTTGGTGGTGATACCCCTTATAGGTCTGTCTGTCAAATTCTCATGTTATGTTTTAAAATATATGTTCTTTGCTAACTTGGTTACAAATAGAAGATGAACTTCTATGTACATGGAGTATCCTATATCAAGAAATGTTAACAGCATGCTTTCAAAGCTTGGCTAATATTTATTTAGACACGTGAAATTATGGGTGAGACTTCATTTGTTAGATAGAGGGTGGGACCCAAATTGTTCAGTAAATTTTAATAAAATTTAGCTAACAAAAAAAAAGTGCTAGAAAGAGTATTTGTGAATGTATTTTTTAAGTTTACTTATATAGATTAGGTTTTGAATAAATTTGTTGTAAGCAATTTTGGTCGAAGAAAAATAATAAGAAATAAAATAACAAGTTTTTGTTATAACCTAAAAATAACTTGTCGAATAACTAAACGAGACAATTTCTGTAATTTATTAAGTGCATAAGTTAATTATAACTTTTCAGAGAAACTTATTTCATTTTACTTTCTTAATTTTTTCTCTAGTGAGAGCTTGTTGAGGAATTAATCCAAACCGCTTACTCCCGCATTTGCTTGCTATTTGTTTTATACATTTAAATGTTTCTCTTTTTATCCCCCTATTTTAATTGAAGTGAGGCGTCTTGTTGTTTGATGTTGTAGAAACATACGCTTCAGTGTTCTATTTAGTCTGTCTCTGTGCTGGTGAGTAGAGTGAACTGATTTGTCTTGCTTGATGCAGTTTGATGTTTGGACCAGATATATGTGGCACACAGACTAAGAAGCTCCATCTTATACTATCATACCAAGGGCAGAATTACCCTATTAGGAAGGAACTGCAATGTGAAACGGATAAATTGACTCATTTCTATACATTTATTCTAAGGCCTGATGCCTCTTATAGTATCCTTGTTGATAACCGGGAAAGAGATTCGGGAAGCATGTATGCAGATTGGGACATCCTTCCTCCGAGGAAAATCAAGGATGTCAAAGCAAAAAAGGTACAACTATGAGACTTGACTTGTTTTAATTAAGAATATTTGTAATTACCTACGAAGTATATGATCTGCATTGTTATTGTCAATACTTTCTGGGGGTTTCAATGGTCATACATTAAAAAACAACTTAAACAATCATTCTATGGGGTTCTTTAATTTACATTAGAAAAAACTTTGGTTCTTTTGGTATATTTTACATCTTTATCTATCAATTTGCTTTCGTCTGAAACTTTTTATTTTAACTATTGCAGCCAGCAGACTGGGATGATAGAGAGTACATTGAAGATCCTAATGATGTCAAACCAGAGGTACTATTTGCTCCCCTCTTCACCATAATCCTCTTCTGGTGATTTGAAACTCTTAATCAAGATTGCCAAACACCTTCACCTTTGCATGTAGCGTTTGCATTTACATGAAAAACCTTCATGATCACCTTTAGAAATTTCTATCTATAGTAGTACGAATTTTCCATTTCACCGAGTTGAATGTCCACATGAACAATATATGGTATCTGCTATCAGTTTTTTGGGTTGCGATTGATCAATTACTTTGCAAGAAGGTTCATGGTCTGTGCTACCGCAACCACTGTGCAAACACTGTCTGCTACATCTGGTTGGGCTATTAGCAAAATTCTGTTTATTTTGTATTGAAGAGGTTTCCAGTGTCAACAACAAAAAGAGAACAATTTCTGTATTTATTAATTACTCTTTTAAGTCTCATCAAGCATCATAAATGGTATCAAACTTTTGCAGATACTTCTTATTTTTCCCTCAGTCCCTTGATACAAGTATTAGATTATTTATTTCAAGTGGTAGATTCTAATAATGATGAAACATCAGCTTGATAATTATTTTCCAATGAAAATTTTATAGCCAACCTCTGCTTAAGGTTTTCGGCCACACATACTGGCGGATGGATTTTTAGTTACAATTTTACATGCTTCATTCTGCTTTGTTTTTATATATATATATATATATATATATATATATATATATATATATATATATATGTTGCAGGGATATGATTCAATTCCAGCTGAAATTCCTGATCCAAAAGCCAAGAAGGTTGATTTGTTTACTTCATATTTTTTAATTATTGACAGAAGACTTAGTTTAGCATGGATTTATGAATGTTCTTTTCCTTCTCTTCTGTTATTCTTTGTTTGAGTAGCCTGCTGACTGGGATGATGATGATGATGGACTATGGAAGCCCTCAAAGGTTCCTAATCCAGCATACAAAGGACCATGGAAACGCAAGGTTTTTAATGCCACACATTTAAAGTTGAAGTCATTGCTCTTTTAGGTTTTCTAATCATTGAAAATTGTTGAACTGCAGAAAATCAAGAATCCCAACTACAAAGGAAAGTGGAAGATTCCATGGATTGATAACCCAGGTAGGTAGATTTATTTATATTATGGTGATTTCTATTTTTAGAATCAAGAAGGAAGAGTCAATGCATTAATTTTCTGGTAAAGACAAACAAAATAACTAGCTTACACTTTTAGGCTTTGTCATTTATGTTTAATTGTAACTGTTACAAATACGATGTGTACTGACATTATAATTTTATATGGATTTAGACTGTGGGATTTTGCTCATTTGTTGTTGGCTTGGGAAAAATTTGATAAGACAAGAAAATTTTAAAATGGTATTCTAATAGTTTTCACTAGGTGGCAACTGACGTATCAATGGTTTTAGTAATATCTACAGCCTTGCATTCCTTTAAGCTTTTAGGTCTCTGCATGAATGTTTAGCAAATTTATTGTGAAATCTTCTATATAAACTTATGTATAGCAATTGGTGTAGTTACGTGATCTTTACTTCTGGTTTTGCTTTACCTTTGTTGTTTCCTGCAGAATTTGAGGATGATCCCGATCTTTATGTTCTCAGGCCAATTAAGTATGTGGGCATTGAAGTGTGGCAGGTGTGTGTGTGTCTATACATACATACCTTTAGTTCTTCCTCTATAGATTGAAGGAGCATTTAGAAATGCTTATTTTAATTTATGAAAGTGGCTCATTCCCTTTATTTACCTCTTTTAAGCTTATTACAGTAAGCTTCATAAACTTTTGAACAAGCTGCCATCCAATAAGAAATTATTGGACAAGTGCTTGGTTAAATTGTTTACCCAAACACCCTGAGTTGTAATTTCCAGAAGTTTACCTATACTTGAAATTATCTATTATTGAATATTTGAAGTGTGGCAATATTAACTTTTGAAATTTTAGGTGAAGGCAGGTTCAGTTTACGACAACATCTTAATTTGTGATGATCCGCAGTATGCAAAGCAGGTTGTGGATGAATTTATGGCTAACAATAGAGAGGTGAGCTTTTACTTGTAGACTTCGTATCTGTTATTTAGTCTGTAGCAGATAGGAAACTTAGTATCTGCATTCTCATTTCTGTGTGAAATCTCAGTCCGAAAAAGAAGCTTTTGAAGAAGCAGAAAAAGAAAGAAGGGCTAGGGAAGAAGAGGTGACCATTCAAAGCCTAAATGCTTCAGCAGTAATTTTAATGTGTGATTATCATATTTGTCATGTTGCTTTGTACAATATCAATGCCATTTGATGTTATGATTGTGTAGGAGGCACAGAGAGCACGAGAAGAGGGTGAAAAAAGGAGAAAGGAGAGGGATCATAAATATGGAAACAGGAGGCGGCGTCGAAGGGTAATGTTTTTGTTCTCGTTTGCCGTCAAAAACTGTTCTAGAGTGTATTTTTTTAACTTTGCAGTAAAGGTTTTGGTTTATCTTCTATTTTGTGCGGTAGGAGTTAATAGTAGGGGGGAGCAAATGACCTGTTTGGACAAATTTCCTCCAAATTTTTTAGGAGAGAAATTAACAGTTTTTCGTGGTTTCTTTTAAGTTTTCCGGCCAATACATGTAACATTGTTTGGTCTCTAATTCAAATGGATTTCTGATCACTTATATCGCTTATGAAGTACAAAGTCTGATGTCAAAACTTTGTTTTGCAGCCGGATCCCCACGATACGTATGATTACCATGTAAGCCTAACATTCTCTTGTTATTTTATCCTTATGTGAATATGCCTCGTAATACTTTATTGCTTCCGTTGTTCGTGCAATGATGTGTTGTGTGAACTTTGGCTGCTGATATTGTGATTCTTGGTTTACTCGAGTTGGGTATGATATGACCACTGCCCATAACACGTTGCCATTTAGATAGATATCAGCCCTTTTGCATATCCAAATCAAATACAATAAAGATATTTTTCAATTACCTGACACACACACGCAAAAACAAAGACAAAAATTATTCGAACTTGAAATGTATACCTTCTGACTGTGATCATTAGGTGTGATTTGGTGAAGTCTGTATCTGATCAGCACCTCAAAAAGTGGCAAAGTGTGCATTGATTCTGGAAAGAGTTTCACATTAAATAGGACAAACTATTTATCGTCATAATAAGTCTTGAACTTTTCTCACCTAATAAGTGGATTAACATAATGAATGGATTGAATTTTCCTTATATGTTTTCAGTCCTAATTCGTTCAAAACAAAGAAGATATTCAAACATCAATTTAAGAAAACATTGTTGTACTTAAATATGCAAATTTAGAAATAAATTCCTGAATTTTTCTGGAAGTAAGCATAAAAGTGTCTCCATTGGCAATATCACACTCACCGTCACTCTTTTTTCTATCTTTCGTTCATATTGATGTTCCACTTCAATTATTGCTTGTTATTTAAAAAAAAAAACAAATTTTCTCAGGTAATTTCCAATAAAAAGCACACTGAGTCATGACTTGTCATGAGTTGACAGGACTCTGTAAATAAATATGAATTCAATGATTCATAAACATCTGATACTTTTTCTTACATTCGTGTGGAAGTAGTAAGGATAAATAATATATTATGAATTTGTAATACAAAATACAACTTCTGAAATGCTTGAGCTGCTGTTGGGTTCGATGCATTGTAAGATCTTTCCATTGTGTGAAATTTCGTTTTCTTTCAATTATTTTGGTAAGGGACAGTCTTCATTTTCAGTACCCTTAGTAAATAAGCATTTCCTTGGACTTTGACTCTTTCAGGATGAACTTTGAAAGGTGTAGTCTGGGTAGGTGGCAGTTGTGTGATTGCAGCAATAAAATGCATCTTTGAAGTTTTTAGAGAGTGCTGTGAATTGTAGGACCAAAGCTGCAACTGCACCGACCATACCGAGCTGTACTGAATTGTAACATCTGAAAAAATGGGTGGCAGTCATTATGTTAACCTCATTTCTTTTGGATTATTATTAGGAAACAGCTGGTCAGCTGGTACTGTTCTGAACATGGAATTTGAACTTTTTCAACCTGTAACCCAGAAAGAAGAAAGAATTAAAAAATTGTTTTTTGGTAATCTTCCTGCAATCTTTATATAATATATTAGGGCAGAAGTTATAAGGGTGACTTAGATGAAAGTAACTTTCTGAAGAGTTTTTGAGTTTAACTTTCTCTGGAAATATACTTTAAGAGTTATAAAGTTAGAATGATGAGTTTGGAAAGAAAAATGAGCCTTTTTACTGATAAAATATTAATAATTAATATATATATATATATATATATATATATATATATATATATATATGTTATGTATGTATATATATGTATGGATGTACTTATTCTTAGTAATAGAATAAGATTTGTTATTAATCTGAAAGAGAGAATATAATTGTAGATAATACAAACAAGTATACATTGCTAAGAATAAAAGTTATTTATGGATTAATTAAGCATTGGAGACTTCTTTTAGGAAACCATTGAGACTTGACCATTTCAAGATGCATATCTATTTTCTCTTACTCAACTGATCCATTTGGAAATTAGATATATTAATTAATTATATATTAATTAATTTGATTTTGTATAAATGTTTATTTATGTAATTTTACATCGAGAAGTTATTTTAAATTCAAATCTAATTTTACGAAACCAACTTTACATTTTCTTTTGCTTAGATAAAAGATTTAACAACAAATTTTATTACTACTTTTGCTTTTAAATCTAAATATTAAGGTAACTATAAATTAATTTTGATTTAAAAAATAATCTTACAAACACTAGTAAAACACTTTTTCTATTTATTTGCTGATTTTATTGAAGAAAGGGTATATTAAAAAGAAATAGAATAAAAGGAATGATCTACTACATTATTTAGTTGAAATGCTTCAAGTGAAATATTTTGTGGAGAATTTTCAAACAGGCTTTTTTTTTTGTTGAACAAAATAAGGATATATACAAAAGTAATTTTGTATATGCTAATTTGCTTTTAAATATAAACATTGATATAACTAAAATTTAATTTTAATTTAAAAAAAAAATTACAAACACTAGAGAACATATTTCTACTATTTATTTGTTGATTTTATTGAAGAAAAAGTATATTCAGAAAAACATAACGCTCAGCTACTTTGTTTAGTGGAAGCGGTTCAAGTGAAATATTGTGGAAAATTTTAAATAGCATTTTTTTTGTTAAAGAAATAAGGATAAATAAAAATAAATTTATTAGATTATTTTATTTAAACATGTTTTTTATTGGACTTTCTGATTCTTTTCTTATTCATTATTATTACATTTTTTTAAAACCTTCAAGGATGGAAATTCAAATAGTAGAAACTAGAGATATAAAAGTATAACATCCCAAAAATATAGTACAAAACCATATTTAGAATATTTACAGATAACAACAGTTCATTTCTGAGAATAAGATGTACAGTTATGGTCGAACGACCTTACAAAAATATTAAAAATTTTAAGATTTACAAAAGCACAATTTAGACCGAATGGTTACCAAAACTACGCTAATATCGATCAGTTATACAAAATAAGACCAATCCTAATGACCAAATGGTCCTATGTTTCAGTTTTCACTTCCACTTCTTCCAGGATCTCTTCTAGCAACTCTTCTCTTTCTGCTCACATTCATAGGATGATCATTGCAACAGAAATAATGACCGAACGGACAAAACAGACAAGACAGAAAATAGGATAAGCTTATGTAATTTAATTAATTCAGTAAAATATATACTTCACATAAATCTAACATAATTCAATACACAATCATGTAACATCCAATCATGCACTTCCAATCAAAATTTCACGTCAAAGCATGCCATGACCGACCACTTTACTCTGACTGTCCGGACTGTATGAATTCTATGTAGCTACGACATTTTTGCACCTGGGTGATGTAATAGCTGGGATGCCCTCAACAGCTGTCACCCGAGGTTAGTTCGTTCCGTCCAAGTTCACCTTATGGATTAGGACCTCCTGCCATTCTAACACATGACTTACTCCTCTTTACTTGAGAATGAGTAATCACAGAATATCAGGATAACCGCCAGCTAAACATAACCACATTCATACTCTACCATTCAATAACCATTCATGAGATATTCCTCCCTGGAATACTCTTTCATTTCCATACCATTCCATTTATATTCCATAATACAATCAAACCGAACCAAAAGAAACAGATCCCATATGAAACCAAAACTGAACAATAACATCCACCCCAGAGACAAGACCGAACGTTCTGAATACTTTCTAGACTAATGCAGCTGAACACTTAGTGCAAGACCGAGCGATCTTCCACTTATACACTGTACAGGACCGAACGGTCCATTCTAGATAAGACTCATCAGAAGCTGAACACTAGTGATAGTATTTGGATGTTTACTTGCTACTCAACAGTTACTACAGAACAGTATTTTACTAGACCGAACTCCTAAGAATGTACCGAATACTAAATATTATATATAATTTAGACTTAACCGAAAATCATAATAACCATTGCTGAAACTTGAGAACTTAAACCGAACCCTACAAGATTTAATTGAATACTATTGACTTGGACCGAACACTCTTAGTTCAAATAGAGTACACAATGGGGTATAATAAAAATACCGAGCGCTTGGTTAAAGACCAACCACTATAAAGACCGAGCACTTGGTTCAAAATCGAGCACTACTGAACTTAAATCAAAATGAATGAATATATATTCAATTACACAACACTTATTTTCAATGAAGGATAAAGGTAACATCTACGACTGTAAGTACTATAGAATACATTAATTAAACCGTTTAGGAAGCATAAAGAGGAAACTATACTTAAACTGAACGCTTACTTACAAGTATTCTAAGAGAAAACCGATCGGTCCTTAGCTGAAATTCTCCACAGAAGAAGAATCCAGTACAGACCAAATACTCAAATAAAAATCGAATGGTCAATAATGACTTTCAGTGACAACCACATGATTATACATAATTCTACATACTTAAGAGCAAACCCTATATCAGCCAGTTCACATCATTTGTAACTCATACACTCATATATACAAAACATGCACTAAAAACAACACCTCATATTCATCCATGGATCAAACAAACATACAACCATTCAGAACAAGAAATCATAATCAAATTATATAAGTTTCCCTTACCTCTAAACGTAGCCAAACGCTCACAGATGCAGGATATGGTTCACCACTACCAGTCTTATACACTTAGAGCTCACTGATTTAAAAACTAAACCAAATATAAGACCAGAGTTGCAATCAGAATGAGATAATACACTCATGCAATCAAAATTTAGGTTTGGATGTGACAAAAAACGAACGGTCTAAGAAGAGAAGTACTCACCAGCTTAAACCACAACTTAAGTGCAATAGAAAGCTCTTGACACCATAAATACTCAGACGTTGCCTGAATGATGATCGAAAGAAGAAAAGGATGAGAAATCGTAAAGAGAAGATGGAGATTGTAGAGAGAAGGAGGAAAAAATGGAAGGTTCAGAAGATTGAAGATAAAAGGTGCATGCAGAAAAGTGACACGAAGTTTGAAATTTAGCCTTAAATATTACCGTCACTAAAATCGATCGGCCACTCAGCGCTGCACACCTGTCTTTCACTATCTGAAGCTCTGATACTCTTCTACTGACACGTGACTTCCACTCATAAAAAAATTAAGGGTTGTGACAAAAAATAAAGGACAAAAACAAAAGAAACATGAAGTGTTTATTCCCATTTGATGAGACTTTTATTCCATCTCTCAAATTATGATTGTTAGTTGTTTTACTACAAAATTATGATAAAAACATTCAAAATTCTTAAATGAAAGAAATATATTTTAATTTACTAACTATCAATCATTTCAACCTTTAATGTTATGACCAATGAGTTTGATTTTTGATTTCGATGCCTAACATTGTTTTTATTCGTAAAAAAATGTGCATTTAGTCAACCAAGTCTTCGATACTACTAGGAATTATTGACAGTAAATATCTACTTTTTTGGTTTTCCTTAAATATAGAATTTAGAAATATTTTCTGTTTTTATTTAACTGTAGTTTTTTAAATGTTAGAAAATGTTAATTATTTTTTGTCATTCATAATTTTGCCCTTCACTTAATCTTTAGTCCATTCGCACTTCTTTAGAAAATTCAGTTTCTGGGTGGAAGTTTATTTGATAACATCTGTACAGATAATGCTTTAATTGAACTCAATAATTTTACAACTGAAAAAAACAAACTTTAAATGTGTCATTATATCGTGTTTTGAGTTAATTAATTAAATTATTAAAAATTCAGATTTTAATAATAAATTAATATAATAATTAAATTCAATTTTTTAATAATTCAGTTTTTTAAATAAATTTATTTTAATATCTATTTAATTTAGTTTGAAATATTTTTAAATAATTCCAATATGTGAATTAAATTATTTGAGTTGGTAAGATTAAGAAACAATATGTAAAACATAAGGGCAAAACTTGTATTTATTTTGAAGTTAATAGAGATAATTCTTAAACTTTTAAACTAATATATTCAACGTTTGAAAATCAACTTTTGTGGAATCCAAGTAATAAATAGACTAATATATTGATCAACTTTATTTATTAAATTGATTTTGTTTTTCTTTTACTAAATTTTAATTAGCAAGCCCATTAACACTCTAAGCACTCATACATTACTCATTCAATATTAGTAAGTTATTCGTTATTCTACCAAAAGTGGTTAATCATGACATGAAATGGTATAAAAAGAAGTTATATATATATATATATATATATATATTAGATATATAATGTAATTAAGTTTTTAAATGTATTAAAAAATAATTTTAAGTCTAATTTAATCTTATAAAATCAAAATTTATATTCACTTATGTATTATAAAATTGTTTTATCTTTAATTAATGTAAAACTTTTAATTCTCAGTAATATAAATTTACAAAATTATTCTCAATAATATAAATAAGCTCGCAGGAAAGATAAATTAAATATTGATAAAATACCTCAACCCTAAAACACTAAAGTCTTCAAGAACTTTAATAAAATAATGACCAATACTTAATAGGGTTGATGGTTATTTGTTTTCTTAAAGGAGTTAAGATGAATTAATACCATAAATGTTCATAAAATAAATACTACAGTAATATACTATATTTTTGGATCGATGGAATGTATAAATAAATAAATATTGTTATTTGAAATTTTTTTGAAATATATTTAATAATATCTTATATTGACATGACTGAATTGTTTGGATAATAACAATATCTAACTTAATTTTTTTTGTGAGAGATTGGAGTACGTTATATCGAGTAGTATTAATTGTTGAATTATACATTTTTTTTACTTATTTTCTTTCTAGGGAGAACAGATTTTGGTGTGAATGGAATAATGTTTCACACCATTTTCTGTCTCCATTTCTTAATTATATAAAAGAGGAAGAACATATTTATAAACAATTGAAGATTATGGAGGAAAGGTTACCACGTTTGAACAAGTCAAAACAAGAATCTTGGTGTAGTTGTTTGGTCCCAATAGTAACAATATCATTGATTGTAGTGGTGATTAGTAAAAATAATTATTATTATGATGGTTAATCCAATGTTTAGTGGTTTCACATGATCTACCATTTTCGAAAACTTTGAATCTTTAACCTGTCCGTTGGAAATTAAACAACCATGGGAGAAAGAAACATGGGTCCCTTTGATCCAAGATATCAACGGAAAACAAAGTCATGTTGTTTCTTCCCATTTAAATTACCCCCAAGAACAAAAAATACTTTTATTAATTCAATTTATAATTTTTATTTTAGTTTTATTTTTTTATTTAAAAGAAAAAAGTTTTACAAAAACGTATTTCAAATTTTATAATTTTTCAGGTCTAGAATTAGCCATATGGTATTTTGAAATTTAATAATTTGAGAAGTTTATGGAGAATATAAAATTATAATTAAAGGTTGAAAAATAATAGGAAGGTTGGTAGGAGTAAAAAGGTGGTAGGAGGGGGAAAAGGCAAAATCGTTTTCAAGAAAACAGTAGAAAAAGAAGAGTGTTTGTGTCAACGTAAAATAAATGCAACTGCCTTCTCTTTTCATTCCTTCTTTCTCTTTTCGTTCCACTCCGTTTCATTCATTCAGATACATTTCATCTCATCATCGATCAGATCAATGCTCTTTCATCGATTCCACGTTCTCACTCTCTTCCGCTTCTTCTAGGGTTTCTCTCTCTCTCTCTCTCTCTCTCTCTCTCTCTCTCTCTCTCTCTCTCTCTCTCTCTCTCTCTCTCTCTCTCAAACAACACAATTCAATCGGCAAATTCTCCTTCGTTCACAGTAATGGATTCCTGATGCGAACTATTTCTCTCTATCTTTTGTAACAATTCACTTTCTTCTCTCTCCTCGTTTAACTCCACTCTTTCGCATCACATTCGATGAGTGAAACTAAGGTATTATTATTATTATTATTATTATTTATTATTATTGTTGTTTTAACTGATTTTTCCCCTCCAATCCGAGATCTTACTACCGTACATCGAATAAACGTTATTCTTATTGTTTTTTGTTTGACTGTTTGTGCGAGTCTCCATCTTCGTTATTTGATTTCATGAATTTTCTTGTATACCAGATGTTTTGAGTGTAGATCTCTCACAAGGATTTCGGTTTTGGTTGGAAGCAATTGATTGCAACTGATTTTGCTTTCTGATTTCGAAAATGTTTGACAGTAGTTTTATTTCGAGGTAATTCGGTTTTCTGTTTGTGTTTGGGAGTTTTCTCGGTGAAATTCTTATAATCTAGTATGGCAACAGTGTTGCTCACACAGGCATTGTGAGTTTTTGTATACGTGTTTTGGTGGTGGTTTTACTTTTGCATTTGTGTGTAGCTCTATGTGTGTTGATGTGCTAGTATGATTATTTTTATTATTATTATTATGATGATCATCAACATTATTTGGTAATATGTGTTTATTACTCTCTGTCTTGTAGGAAAGGAGTGGGTTTTGCGTGTGGCCGGATGCGAGACAACTATGCTTGCGGAAAGGTCTTTTATATGGATTTATGCGATTATTTTCTATACCGTTAAAAACATTGCGTGGAGCTAGTCGGTCGTTGAGAGTAGATCAATTTTGCAGTGTAGTGAATCTATCTTCCACACTGCAGATTGAATTGGTGAGCAAATTTCTCACTCATTTTTAATTATGCAATTAGATTAATATTCATTCACTCGTGCTGATAAGTTCTGGTGCGATGTGCTGGAATCTTAGTATGTTTTGTTAATCATCTCATTTTTCTTTATTTTTAGGTTCCGTGCCTTAGGGACAGTTATGCATATCTTTTACATGATGTGGATACGGGGACAGTTGGTGTTGTTGATCCTTCCGAAGCTGCGCCTATTATAGAAGCTTTGAGTAAGAAAAATCTAAATTTGACTTACATACTGAACACCCACCACCATCATGATATCACTAGTGGAAATACAGAGTTGAAAGAAAGGTACGGGGCTAAGGTACGTCTTTTATCTTGAGTCAAAGTTTATTATACTTTTTATTAGTATTATAAATGTGTTATCAGCAAATGGTGAGGAGATTTATTTGTAAAAATTCCTCATCTTACAGGTAATTGGATCAGAAATAGACAAGGAAAGAATTCCTGGTATTGATATTTATTTGAGTGATGGAGATAACTGGATGTTTGCAGGTCATGAGGTGCATATATTAGCTACACCTGGTCACACTGAAGGTCATATTCATTGTCCATTTGCAAAATAAATCGTCTTAGTTTGTTTGCTACTAGATATGTTTTAAGCTAATTTTTGAAAAAATGGCTCAGATCTACTTGTTACTTTCGCTCTTTTATTCTGCTCAACAATTTTCAATTCCTAGGGAATCTAAACTCTATATTAGATTGTTTGCTGTTATATTGACTAAGCTCATGGTTTTTACTTGAAGGCATGCATGTTCTTCTTGGTTTAGCATGATATTATCTGGCCCTCAAA